GTTTCTATCTTCTCACTTCACCAGCTGTTAGTGCTTATCTTCTCTCACTTCACCCAACTGTTAGTGTTTATCTTCTCTCACTTCACCAGCTGTTAGTGTTTATCTTCTCTCACTTCACCAACTGTTAGTGTTTATCTTCTCTCACTTCACCAGCTGTTAGTGTTTATCTTCTTCACTTCACTCAGTTGTTAGTGTCTCCCTTCTTCACTTCACCAGCTGTTAGTGTTTATCTTCTCTGTACTTCACCAGCTGTTGCGTTTATCTTCTCACTTCACCAGTTGTTAGTGTTTATCTTCTTCACTTCACCAGCTGTTAGTGCTCCTCCCTTCTCTCACTTCACCAACTGTTAGTGTTTTCTTATCTTCTTCTCACTTCACCAGCTGTTAGTGTTTATCTTCTTCACTTCACCAGCTGTTAGTGTCTCTTCTCTCACTTCACCAGCTGTTAATGCTTATCTTCTCTCACTCTCACTCAACTGTTAGTGTTTATCTTCTTCACTTCACCAGCTGTTAGTGTTTATCTTCTCTCACTTCACCAGCTGTTATGTTTATCTTTCTTCACTTCGCACTCAGCTGTTAGTGTTTACCTTCTCTCACTTCACCAGCTGTTAGTGTTTATCTTCTTCACTTCACCAGCTGTTAGTGTTTATCTTCTTCACTCTCACCAGCTGTTAGTGTTATCTTCTTCGACTTCACCAGTTGTTAGTGTTTATCTTCTTCACTCACCAGCTGTTAAGGTTTATCTTCTTCTCACTTCACCAAAGTTGTTATGTTATCTTCTCTCACTTCACCAGCTGTTATGTTTATCTTCTCTTCACTTCACCAGCTGTTATTAGTGCTTATCTTCTCTCACTTCACCAGCTGTTAGTGTCTCCCTTCTCTCACTTCACCAGCTGTTAGTGTTTATCTTTCTCTTCACTTCACCAGCTGTTAGTGTTTATCTTTCTCTCACTTCACCAACTGTTAGTGTTTATCTTTCTCACTTCACCAGCTGTTAGTATTATTCTCTTCACTTCACCAGCTGTTAGTGTTTATCTTCTTCTGATTTCACCAGCTGTTAAGGCCCCTTTCTCACTTCACCAGCTGTTAGTGTTTATCTTCTTCACTTCACCAGCTGTTAGTGTTTATCTTCTTTCACTTCACCAGCTGCTAGTGTTTATCTTCTCACTTCACCAGCTGTTAGTGTTTATCTTCACTTCACCAGCTGTTAGTGTCTCCTTCTCTTACTTCACCAGCTGTTAGTGTTTATCTTCACTTCACCAGCTGTTAGTGTCTCCCTCTCACTCACCAGCTTATTAATGTCATCTTCTTCACTTCACCAGCTGTTAGTGTTTATCTTCTCTCTTACTTCACCAGCTGTTAGTGTTTATCTTCTCACTTCACCAGCTTTGTTAGTGTTTATCTTCTCACTCTCACCAGCTGTTAGTGTTTATCTTCTCTCACTTCACCAGCTGTTAGTGTTTATCTTCTCACTTCACCAGCTGTTAGTGTTTATCTTCTCACTTCACCAGCTGTTAGTGTTTATCTTCTCTCACTTCACCAGCTGTTAGTGTTCTCTTCTCACTTCACCAGCTGTTAGTGTTTATCTTCTCTCATTTCACCAGCTGTTAGTGTTCTCTCACTTCACCAGCTATTAATGTTTATCTTCTTCTCACTTCACCAGCTGTTAGTGCTTACTTCTCTCACTTCACCCGCTTGTTAAGTGTTTATCTTCGTTTCCACCAGCTGTTAGTGCTTATCTTCTCTCACTTCACCAGCTGTTATGTTTTATTCTCTCTCACTTCACCAGCTGTTAGTGTCTCCCTTCTTCTCACTTCTGCCACCAGCTGTTAGTGTCTTCTTCTCTCTCACTTCACCAGCTGTTATGTTTATCTTCTCTCACTTCACCAGCTGTTAGTGTTTATCTTCTTCTCACTTCACCAGCTGTTAGTGTCTCCTTCTCTCACTTCACCAGCTGTTAGTGCTTATCTTCTCACTTCACCAGCTGTTAGTGTCTCCTTCTCTCACTTCACCAGCTGTTAGTGTCTATCTTCTTCTTCACTCTTCACCAGCTGTTAATGCTTATCTTCTCACTCACCAGCTGTTAGTGTTTATCTTCTCTCACTTCACCAGCTGTTAGTGTTTATTTCTCTCACTTCACCAGCTGTTAGTGTCTTCCCTTCTTCACTTCACCAGCTGTTAGTGCTTATCTTCTCACTTCACCAGCTGTTAGTGTCTCCCCTTTCTCTCACTTCACCAGCTGTTAGTGTTTATCTTCTTCACTTCACCAGCTGTTAGTGTCTCCCTTCTTCACTTCACCAGCTGTTAGTGCTCATCTTCTCACTTCACCAGCTGTTAATGTTTATCTTCTTCACTTCACCAGCTGTTAGTGCTTTATCTTCTCTCACTTCACCAGCTGTTAGTGCTTATCTTCTTCACTTCACCAGCTGTTAGTGCTCCCCTTCTCTCACTTCACCAGCTGTTAGTGTTTATCTTCTTCACTTCACCAGCTGTTAGTGCTCCCTTCTCTCACTTCACCAGCTGTTAGTGCTTATCTTCTCTCACTTCACCAGCTGTTAAAAGTCTTCACTTCACCAGCTGTTAGTGTCTATCTTCTTCACTTCACCAGCTGTTAATGCTTTGCCTTCTCACTTCACCAGCTGTTAGTGCTTTATCTTCTCTCACTTCACCAGCTGTTAGTGTACCACAAAATTACTTTAATTAATTTTTCAATTTGGTGAATCTCTCTCTCTCTCTCTCTCTCTCTCTCTCTCTCTCTCTCTCTCTCTCTCTCTCTCTCTCTCTCTCTCTTAGAAAAATGTAAGTCAGTTAGGTAGAAAATACTACCTAACCTAACTTAACCTAACCAAACCTAACCAAACCTAACCTAACTAACCAAACCTAACCAAACCAAACCCTAACCCTAACCTAACTAACCTAACCAAACCTAATAAACCTAACCTAACCAAACCAACCTAACCTAACCAAACCTAACCAAACCTAACCTAACCTAACCAAACCAAACCAAACCACAAACCTAACCTAACCACCAATAAGTTACATTCTCGGGTCTCTAATTACAATAAAACAAAGCAATATTGACTCAGGAATCTTAGCTACTATGGACCCAAATTCTCAGGCAAAACAACATATCTCAGGTGGATTAAACTTCAATAAATCTGAACAAATTAGATTCCTTTTATCTACCTGAGAAAGACGTTAATCGAGGCCAAGTGTTAATCGAGACCAAGTGTTGTGTTAATCAGGCAAGTGTTGTGTTTCGAGGCCAAGTGTTAATCGAGGCCAAGTGTTGTGTTAATCGAGACCAAATGTTTATTATGGAGACCAAGTGTTGTGTTAATCGAGACCAAGTGTTGTGTTAATCGAGACCAAGTGTTGTGTTAATCAGACCAAGTGTTGTTAATCAAGCAAGTGTTGTGTTAATCGAGACCAAGTGTTGTGTTAATCGAGACCAAGTGTTGTGTTAATCGAGGCCAAGTGTTGTGTTAATCGAGGTTAAATAAGACATAATCAAGGAGCCGGAAAATTAAGACCGTGACGAGGGTTATAAATGGCCTTAATTGGTGAGAGGTGAGGGAGAGGGGAGAGGTGAGAGGAAGGGGAGGGGGAGGAAGGAGAGAAGGATTTATCATTGTTAGGCTCATCTTGAGCTCTGGGAAGATACAGAGATTATAAGGGAGGATTTAGGAGGGATTAACGTGATGTAGTAGTCCAGGTATAGGATTTACTTGAGGGGATTACAAGGGAAGAGAAATCCTGGCTATTTATGTGTCTGTCTGTCTGTCTGTGTGATTACTGTCTGTTTCTCTGTCCGTATGTCTATTCTCTGTCTAAACTATTTATCTGGATGTTGTATAACTATCTATCTATCTGTCTATCTATATATCTATCTCTTTATAGCTATCTGTCTCTCTATTTAGCTCTCCTGTCTCTCCATTCTTAAGTCTCTTGCATTCCGTCTTCAGTATTTAACTCTGTCTGTCTGTCTGTCTGTCTGTCTCTATACACTTGAATTATACAACAAATCACATCAGCGTACAACAATAATTATTTCCACACCTAAAGTCACAATAATTCTTCAAATTATACCAACGAGAATAATTCACAAGAAGATGAATCCATTATATGGGATTATATAACGTATAACACATATTTTTTGAAGATTATATCACGTATCATTGATCGTAACACACACACACAGTTGAATAGGAAGGCTTTAAGGCGAGGTGTTCACTTGACGGTGTCTGAGGGTCGACTGACTTGATCCAAACTGAGAACTCCATCCTTGGTTATGACTTTTGGCCCGACCATAAACTGAGGGAGAGGTGGGCACAGGGATTGATGGTTAGAATGAGGTATAGGTATTGTGGGTTGTGGCCAAAGGGGGGATAGTCAAAGGGGTGGTAATATATGAAGGAATGGCCAGAGGGGGGGAGGGGGTACCACCCTAATGACGAACTCTTGGGTAATTTAGAAGGAAAATGGAAAAAAAAAAGATGAGAAGAGGTGGAAGAGGAAAGAAAAAAGGGTAAAGAGGAAAAGATTAGAGAAGGGGATACAGAAAATAAAGGGTAAACATGTAAGATATAAAAAGAGGGAAATAAAAGAAAGAAGATGTAAGTGAAGGGAGATGATAAGGACAGGACTCCTCAGTGGAACAAATATACCTGTGTATTATCTTATGTCATAAAATTTCTAACGACGAATAATATTTCTCCCTTAAAAATCAATTCTCCTTTAGTTATTGCGCGTTTGGTTTGTGAGAGTAACTGTTAAAAATATACCACGAACAAAAATTTACAAAATCCCATATTTTCCGATAAATAAAAACAAAAATAGTCTAAAATTACTCAAAACAAAATTAAATTTATTTAATTTATAGGATTTCTTTAATAATAATAATATTTGATCTTGTTATTAAAAGTTAAAAAGTTTAGTTATGTTACAGATGTCATTGTGGTATTACTTTAACATCAGCCATGTTGTGTTTACTATACTAACCGACCTAAATGGCGGTTTGTAAACACTGGAGACAACTGAGGAAAAATAATTCATTAATATGGGAGTAACACCTGACACCTACAGGTATTAACAAGGTATGACCTCTATATGTATCATCTAAACTACTTTCATTTGATGAGGTTGTTTCTGATGGGTTATTGATGAGGTTTGTTTTAATTAGAATATTTGTTTTGACGTATTAAATGTAAACCAGGTGTTGTAAACCAGACCAGGTGTTGTAAACCAGACCAGGTGTTTTAAACCAGACCAGGTGTTTTAAACCAGACCAGGGGGTATAATCCAGACCAGGTGCTATAATACCTATCTTGTCAATATACTGAATCAATGGTTAAATATTCGTTTTAACTTCCTCTTTGTTTTTTTACGGATAAATATATTTTTCCGGTGTATTTTGTTGTGGTTGTCTAAGTCTCCCGTACTCGCTGTCATATTAAACAGAAAGAATTTATTTTGATATCTGGTACCATTGAAGGCAGTCCTGTTGAAGCCTCATGGTGTAATTTTAGGTTAGGTTAGAATTGGTTTGGTTAGGTTAGGTTTGGTTAGGTTAGGTTCATCATCTTGAGTTATGTGATATATTATGTACTTTACTGTAGTGAGAAAAACTACATAAAAAAAAGTGCAACAACTACAACTAATTGATGTTTTCTTAATGTGAGGGAGAAGTTTTTTTACCATTGTTTGTATACCTACAGTGTCCACGTACATGATGACAATTTTACTATATAATACAGTATCTACAGTATTTGTCTATTTATCTCCTGTCTGAGTTAAATAGCTATATACTGTAGGACTTCCACACTCAGGTCGGAATATATAAGTGTGAATTTTCTTCATGTCTAAATGCACTTTTCTGAAAACAGCAAAATGAATTATATCTCCTAACTTACTGAAAAATATTATATGGTTGTTTGATAAGTTGTCCTTATTTTCTTGTCATGATTTTTACTGGGATTTTCAGCAAACTTTCCAAACAGAATTAATCACCATTGTTTTTAATGTTGAGACAGGTTGGTTTAGGTTGTCTTAGTTGAGGTTGTGTTGGATTTGGTTCAGTTATTTTGGGTTATATATATCTTATTATTTTGGGTTATATATATCTTATTATTTTGGGTTAGTTTTGGCAAGACATTAAATATGGATTCATATAATACCTTCTCAAGAACAGTTTTTTAGTACTGTATAGAACTATTATTATCCTCACATGTTGGCACTATAGCTGCATTATACAGTATAGTACAGTATTGAATATGTTGTAATACTGTTATTTTTTATCTCTTTCAGATGGCAGAGTCTGAAACAGACAATAAATTGATCTACACCATTTGGTGAACTTTAAGGTTCCTACTTATTTTTATTTTTCATAAAAAGGAAACAAATAAAAATGTCGGGGCTTCATCCTGATGCAGAAGTCGGTGGAATGACGTCCCAGGGGAAACTTGGTGGGTCCAGCATGTCAAGTATTCAGCCGCCGAGCACTAGCACTGACATCCCCATAGTTATGAGTGACGATGTGTATGATGGGTCCCTGACAGAGCACCAGCAGTGCTTTGTGCTGGTCGACGACCACGCCGGCAGTTTTGTGCCTGGAGACTCGGCCGTACAAAGGCTGCTGACGGAGCAGGAAACTGCCATGGAGGTCAGTGCAGAGAAGACAGTTCAGGTGATGCAGATGGATGGTAATAAAACATTAGAGATGATGCACGTGGGTAATAAGGATAGGGTCGAGGTGATGCAGATGCCTGATGGACAAACAGTAGAGGTTGTTCAGATGGATGGAGGAAAGACCTTGGAGGTAATGCACATTGATGCAAGCAAACATTCACAAGTTCTGCACATTGATGCAACTAAACACACACAAGTGGTGCACATTAACACAGGTAAACACTCGGAGGTGATTCACGTTGATGATGGTAACGGCATTGAACTTCTGACCGAAAATAGCCCAATAAAAGGACCAGTTGATACGAAAAGAAAAGGAAAATATGTGATATCACGTCAATGTGCCAAACCATTAACATCCACAGCCATGAAGAGGGTCCTGCCACGTCCGAGTAGTCACGATGCAGCTAGTTTAAGTCTGAGGTCACTAACTACTGTTACTCCTTCCATTGTACTGTCAACAGGCAAAAGCAATCTACTCCCTGGTCAGGAATTCAACCGTGTGATATCAACTACGACCTTTCCTGCCAGTAGAAAGTCACAGGTTGTTGAAACAAGTGGCCTGCAGACCATTACCCATGTCAGCCCAAACATAGTGTTGTCTGGCAGCAAGGAGGTTCTCTCGGATGGTGTTGACAGCTTGAACAATACCATAATAATCTCTTGGCCAACCATATCGTCTGACAGGGAGAACACTGTAGCAACACAGACAGAACCCAGCGATGACTTAGGACCGAGCATGAACCTGTTTTTCTGCACCTTCTTCGCAGATGGCAGTGTCCAAACACAGTGCGACATGCCAGCAAGATGCCACGAAAGTGTATCGACTGTCAGCAGGGCCCAGTGTGGGGTGAGACATAAGTTACGGATCCACGGTAGTGACGGAGATGGGGAGGACGACCCGATGGTAGCCAAGATGGAGGGATGTGAGAAGTATGACTCACAAACTGCAGGTGAGTCTTAAGAGCTTCACTCAGTATTTTAATTATCACACTGTAATAACCATTGAGTTAAGGATGTGTCTTGTGATGTGAGAGAAGTTCTTTAACTACACCTATGAGTAAAATAATCTGTAAGTTGGATGTACAGTACAGTAGCTGCTGTAGATAATTAATGAGCAAATTTTGATACATTTAGAAAACTGTTTCATTAGTGTACAGATGTAGGTTTATTTGGCTCAGCTATAAAAGTCACACAGAAGGAACATATTTTAAACACTATTCATCCACAGTTGAACAGTATTTAATAGAGATGTACCAATGTATCGGTATCGGTCTGTTTTTGGAGTATTCTTATCAGTGGAATTTGGTCCGATACTACTGAAGCAGTACCTGTAGGTACTTTGTTTGATGTATTTATATATAACTGAAATTTCCCCTATTTTAAGGAAATTTGGTGCCCACTGGGAAAATTCAAAGGAAATCAGTTTATTTTATTTTATAATCAAAATACAGTATATAGAATCAAATAATGAACATCGAGAAGGAAATTAATAATTCTGGCCAAGTTCTTCCTGTCTCAAGGCCTAAACTGTGCTCATGATTACTACATACTCAGTTACTATACAGAACATAGACAGGTTCGTTGGCTGCCTGTAGTCACTATGGGATGGTGAAAAGTACCACATTGGTTATATTAATGATCATTTATTCTATGAGGTCCTGTAGTGTTTCATCAATTAGTCAATGGATTCTGTATAATTATACATAGTTATTTAAAGTGAGTTTTTAAAAGTTTCATTCCTACAAGGTAAAAGGAATTAAGATATTTGTTGTATCACACTAACTCACTTTGTTAGTCTCGAGCACAGGTTTACAGCACTTCAATCTGCTTCCTGTTGGTGTTTGACTTTTGCATTAATGTGTGGGTAATGTGACTATAGGCATTACTGTATTAATTTATATGGCACTGGGTCCCGGGGTTTGGGAGACTCGGGACCAGTATCTAGCATATTTGCTCTACATAAATAATCTGGGTTTCTTTTCACTGGAAGTTTTTCATCAAAGAAAGTTTATAAGGAAATTGAATATTTTTTTAAGGAAATCTAAGCAAATTTGATGATCAGATCACAGAAATCAAATTTCAAAATGTGGAAGCACTGATGAGTTTCCGGACTACAAGTTTGAGGAACCTTCTTTAATGGCAGTCCCACACTCTTCTAAAATAAATCAATAATACTGTAATAGGGGAATGTTGGAATATAACTCCAATATCAAAGGGTTTTGTTGCACACTTTTGAAACTGATAGTGTTTAACAAGCTTTACAAATATTTAAATAAAATATATTACTATAGTATATTTGTTATATATTTATATTGCATCAAATTAAATGTTTTAATGTTATAGTTTTTGTATCTTATGGAGTAGTGTAATCAGGGGCGGATCCAAGAAGTTGTGGGTGGGAGAACATGGCGATGCAGCAAGCCCACCCGATCTGACCAATATCATGGGCATTTTGAGCCATTTTGAAGCCATGCACACTTGATATTAGGATATATTCTGAAGTCAATAGTAAATACTTTTTACTATACAAAAATGCCTGGGTACAATACTGCATTAGAGAAAAAGTATTGACATTTTCTGATGAAAAGGGAGATGTCCGGACCCCAAGGACCCCCCTGGATCCGCCCTTGGTAAAGGTATTTGTGTATGTATCGACATTATTGCAATTGTGCAATTTGGTAGTACAGAATCTGCCAGTTCTAAGTATCAGTATCGGCCCAATTATTGATATTGGTACATCTCTAGTACAGTATTTATAAATGGGTCGCTTGATGATTAGCCCTCAGCTTATTTCACCTTAAGATTAACCACCGTTATGCTAATCTAATCTAACCCCCAGGTAAAGTTAAGGTGTTTATTCATCAAGTGAAATAGCTGGGTGGGCTATTCCTCAGTTGATACTTTATTTGGTAACTATTTTTATATACTGTACTTGTATATTTGGTGTTGAAAGAAAAATTGGTGCCATGAGGATTAGTTTACCATAGGAAGTCATAAAACATCTCTTAGATCCAAGATTCTTCAGACGATGTCAAGTTCCAAAAGAATGCTTCATGCTTCAAGAATCGGTGAACAGTGTTAAGACGTATTAATTTCTTTCAGATCCGAGATTCTCCAGAAGTGGTCGAATTCTGAAGAGTAAGGGACCACTTTTCAAGCTGGATCCGAGCATGTCAGATGGAGACAGGGATTGCGACCCGGACTTCGAGCTGCCGGGGGAGGAGAAGGATGAAGACATTAATGGCCACCAGAATATTGTTTACAGGAAGAAAAGAGGAAGAAAGAGGAAGAAACGTGTGCCTTCTCCTGATGACTTTGACGAGGAGTTAGAGCTCGCCAACGGTGATGAAAATGAAGACGTAAAATCGGAAACGACTATAAAAGATGAACCGCTGGATGCAGAAGACGATGAACTAGCCTTGGAGATACTGAGGACAAAAGGGTACGGATTGAGGACGAAGCGGCGGCCCAAGAAGATGAGTGACATGCACTACATAGAGGAAAAAGTGGTGAAGAAACGAGTAGAGAGAGCTCAAGAATTTTCGTGTCAGATGTGCACAGAACTCTTCCCAACATTTTCACGATTACAAAGGCACGCTAAAATAGAGCATAATTCCACAGAATTTGCATTCCCTTGTGATTTGTGCGGTGTCGTGTTCACCAGACCCCATAACCTAGAGCGCCACAAAGAGACAAAGCACGGCGATGGTGAACGACGTTTTGTCTGTGAACATTGTGGACGCAGGTTCGGGCGACAAGACGTACTGTCGGTACATGTCTCAATGGTTCACTTCAAGAAAACCTTACGAGACAAAAAGGGACCTTCATTCCTTGGCTCTCATGCTGTACACTGTACGAGCTGTGACAAATTTTTCTCAAAAGAGCAGAAGTTAAGAGAACATAGACAGGGGAACTTAACATGTAGTGACTGTTCAATATCTTTTGAATGTAAAACATCTCTGAGGATACACCAATATAAACACCACCCAACTGCTTGTAACGAGTGTGGGAAGGTCTGTGACAGTAAACAGCAGATGTACTTCCACCGCTTATCTCACGCTCCCAAGTTTTTGTGTAAATATTGTCACAAGGGATTTCTATGGAAGTCTCAGTATACCGTCCATATGGCAACACACACCGGCGAGAAGCCCGTCATGTGTGATATATGCGGGAAGTCGTTTGCTCACAAGCTTGCCGTGAGTAAACATAAATGGCAGGAGCACAACGAAAACAATAAAAAGTTTAAGTGCCAGACCTGCAATAAGTCTTTTGTATATAAAGGGAAACTGCAGTCACACGTGCGAAGTCACACGGGGGAAAAACCATTCGTGTGCCACGTCTGCCGGTCCACCTTTTCTCAGAGATGTAACCTGACGGCCCACATTAAGAGCGTGCACGGCGTTTACATCCAATCCATTAAAAGTGACGGAACGACTCACACTCAGCTTGTGAAATACAAACGCGCCAAGAAAGCGGCCGCTCCTGTAGACCCTCCTTCTGCCGTGGTGAGCTCTGTCATGTCCCCTGCACCTGTTGAAGTTCCCGTTCCCGACCAGCCCCAAGTGGCTATCCAAGACCAAGTACAAATGTCAGAGTCATTTGAAACTGAAGCTGCCGTTTACCAGATTGTTTATGCTTATCCACAGTAACTTGCAGCACTGACTTGCTTCTCCCACTGACAGATGGTAAAATGAGAGTTATTATGGTGCTCAACTTTTGATAACACTCTCCGTGACGTTTTATATCATGTACTGTTCTCACTCTTGTCAACATTGGGTAATTTCCCCGTAAATTTTTGTTTTTACGACATAACTAATATTTATCGTTAGCTACCTTGGTTGATGCATCTTAGAATCTAATTAAAAAACAAAGGTCAATGTTTAAACTTAATGTAATATTCAGAATAGTTATGTTACTGATGTTTTAGTCATTTACTTAGAAGAGTGAGGCATCATTAGTCTTGCTTGGTACAGTTCATGGCTTGATGGCTTCCGTTGCTCTCTAAAAAAATATGTTCCGGTGAAATTTACTTTACAAACTGAAACCCAGAATCAGAGTTTTATAAATTCTGGATCATCTTAACATTAACCACCGTATCTTATTTGACCTTACCTTAATACTAACAAACCTGACTTAACCACACGTCACCCAATCCAATCCCCAGATTATTTGATCGTACCATTAACCACCATGATGCTACTTACCTAATGCTAACCTGACCACTGTAATGCTGCTTACCTAACCTAACTGTCCATAATGCTAACCTAACCATCCCTAATGCTAACCTACCTTAACCACTCTATTTTTAACCTAATTTAACCTAACCACCCTAATGTTAACTTTATCTATCCTAATTACCCCTAATGCTAACCTAACTATCCCTAATATTAACCTAACCTAACCTAACCACCCTAGTGATGAGCAGGACAGGAAGATGTATGCCAGGTCCAGGAACCAAGCAAAGTCAGAGTCTAGAAGGGCTGAAAAAGACCAGAGGCAGATTGCGAGCGAGGTCAAGTCAAACCCAAAGGCTTTTTACCACTAATCAAAATTGAAAATAAAAGCGCAAGTAGGCGTATCAGATCCGAGGCTTGAAGATGGTGTTTACACAGATTTTGACCAGGATAAGGCGGATGGCCACCCCACTAGAGGTCACAGATCAAGGTGAAAGAAGCTACAAGTCCTAGAACACTGTGAGGGCAAACTTTTTGGAGTGAGAGTTGTAAACTCTTGGAACAATCTGCCAGAGAGTGTTGTGAGCTCTTTCAAGACCAGACTTGATCAACACTGGAGCAGGTTCAGATGCGTTCAGGACCCAGTGCTTGCCAACACTGTATAACAGAGATAAAACTGTTGGCTCAAGCAGCAAACGAGCCAATCAGTGGTGAAGGGAGTAAATGTAACCTAATTTGACTTAGCCACCCTAATGCTAACCTAATCACCCTAATGCTAACCTAACCTTCCTAATGCTAAATTATTCTGACCTAACCACTCTCAAGTAGCATTAGGGTAGTTTATCTTCAGGTGGAATAAGCTTGGGACTAATCTTCATGTGATTCATATATATTTGTATATTGGTCTCCTTACAGTACAGACCACTCCTGTATATATATATAAAGATTTTTACCCTTATTTAATGGGTGTTGTGTTACTGTACTGCAGGAGGCCCTATGCCATGCCAGCAGACACTTGGCACGGTAGTAGGTTCACTTTTTGTAATTCCCTCATACACGAACACACTCACTCATTCACTCATGTCATGTCACCTTACACCTTTCATACCTACTCTACACCTGATCCTAAACACACATCCCTAACTTAAGCACAAGACATTTAATTTCTCCTTATAGGGTTATTCCTATGATTTCTTCAGTGTTATTCAGAACTTTGTCAAGATTTTTGTGTTGTTATTATTTGGGAGTTTTGTAATATTGTGAAAATTATGTATATGATCCTTTTTGGTAATATTTTTTTCGTGTATGAAAGTAGTTCTTATATGTTGTGGTCTGACTTTAGTTGTTTATACAGTGTATTTGGAACTTTTGCAATATACAGTGCAGTATATATGAGTTATTAATTAAAACCAAGATTAGAAGATTTACATTCATCCTAAGTGAAGAATTTGTGTTTGATGTATAACGTGAAAATGAATACAGTACTGTACAGTAAATGATAAAAATGTGTAGATAATGTAATAAAGAAGAAAATAACTAAATCTTGTTAATGTAGCTTTAATAATTACTGACACAAGGAAAAATGAAAGTAATGAACATAATTTGGTATAGACAATACTGATACAGGGTACCGTACCTATAGCACAGCTTGTCATTGACGTCAGTTGTCTTGCAACCACTTCTATTTACCTATTACCTTTGGAATGGCTAGGATGTTGTCTCATTCATTTTCCATTATTTTAACTGAAAATGATGTACCTGGGACAAACTTTCTACACCCTGATGTTCCCCAACTGCTGAAACACTGGCTGAAGTGTAGAGAACTTCTGGTAAAAGGAAACAAAGCAGAACTTGTAAAGAGGTAAGTGTTCTGTTTCTGGTCTCACTTAGCTCTCCACAACTCACTAGTGGTGGACACCATTCTTAACAACAATGGTTCTCAGCTTTAGGGTTGCGACCCAAATTTATTAATATATTCAAGTGGGCCCTATTTATTTTATCAATATCTAATTAAATTTATTTCAAGTGAAATGAGAACATGAGTCACTGAGATATCCCCACCACCATAATTTTGATCACAAAAAAAGGTTAAAAATCGCTATTCTAGAGGATACTATTACACATTCTTCTTAATTTCCATTTCATTCACCCTTTTCAACCCAGAATAAACTTTTCAAGTGTGACTCTACAAATGAAAGGGATAATCGAATTAATTGTAAGTTGGAGGAATGAGAGTTTGCCAAAGCTAACAAATATTGTAGAGATTTCTGATATTCATTTTTTAATACTAGTTGTAAGACACAAATGTTTACAATTATGTGTTCTGCCCTGTCATCCTCATATATGTTCTTCCATTTATTTCTGGTGATAATAATAATCTTTTAGTTCAAGCATGATATATCTTACCTTAAGGGTCACAACTACTTACTCTTGTGTCTCGAATTTTTTTGCCTTCCCCAATTATGAAACCATAACATAACTTCATTGTTTCCTTATATTTTTGTATATGCCTCTGATACATCCATCCACATTTTGTGCTTCTTGTTTTAGAGTACAGTACACTTCCTACACTTGTTAACTTCATTGATATTAGTAGCATACTTATTGCATGTATACTGTACTATCGTGCACCAAAGTCGTGTCCACTATCCAGCCACAGTGAGGGTTCGAATTGCCTTGAGTCTGAAGTTTCGAAACAGCTGGGGGAAATGCTATGGTCTGCCAACAGATGTTGCCCACTGTAGTGTGTGGAAGGGGGGGGGGGGGATGAGAGGCAGGTTTATTTATTATATATACCACCATAATTTCAAGCTGCCTTTTTAACTACGTTTTGTCTGACAGTTGTTTCTTTATGGTTACGAATTCATGGAACAGGTGCATAATGCACAAGAGCATTGCTCAGGGGATGTGGGGATACCAATCTCCCAAGCAGTCATACCCAATGATGATACGGGCAGTAATCACGTCCCATTTCCGCGACCCTTTCCCATAGACGTACGAGAGGTCAGGAAGTTTACGGAGGACATCGTACCAGGTGGGCGGGGAGTCCAGGGGGATGGCTGCTTCCCGAACTTCTCTCTGTTTGCGGCGAATTTGGGTCCTACGCTGTAAAAGTGTTCGAGGAACAACGTAGTCAGGTGTGGCCTTGTTGCAGCCAGTCTTGGCAAGGCCATCTGCTGCTTCATTCCCAAGATACCAACATGACTGGGTATCCATAGGAATGTCACAGGACGGCCTGCATCCTGAAGTGTGGATGTTAACCCTCGTATTCGGAGGATGAGGTCCTTATTTTCCCCTGATCCAAATGCGATCCCGTCGAGAGCAGACCTGAAATCGCAGCAGACAAGCAAGGGGCAGAAACCATCTGCTTTTTCTTCAGCGAGAAGGGCAGCAAGGAGGGCTATTAGTTCCGCCTGAAAGGAGGATGCCCCGTCAGAAACTCTGAGAGATAGTTTGATAGGCTCAGGGGCATCAGGACGGGAGATGTAGACACCAGCCCCGGCCCGACCTGTAGCGGGGTCAACAGAACCATCAGTGTAGAGGACGACCCTACCTGGGGACCAGTGGGTGATCCTGGAGAGGTGGTATTTGCAGGGAATAACAGGGTTCACCTGGGATTTCGTGAGCGGTCCACCGAAGGCAATCACTTCAGGTTGAAAATCCAGCCAGGGAGAAGGAGATGAACCAACAGCAAGGGTTCACTTGGATCTTGGGTTGTATATCGTAACGTGCGTATTTCTCTCCCACAAGTCCAGGGTTCGAATCGCCTCTGGTTTAAATGTATGTCTGACGTAGTACGATTTCCGGTTTTCGCCTGCACCAACATTGGATGAACTAACCACCCAGATGGCTTGTGTCCCGATATCAGGTGTTCTTACATATGGTAAACAAAAATACTCAGCCTTTGGATACGCCCCTGGTAACTACGCCACTAGCAACCACGCCACTAGCAACTACGCGTGTATTATCATTTTATATTTAGCCTTTCATTCAGAGGTTTGTCACTGAGGGAATTAGTATGACTGAACATTCATAAATAGTAAATGAGGAACTCTGAGGTAGGTTATTATTGCACGGGGACGAAGCCATAATGTGGGGTGAAATGAAACCTAACCGAACCTCACCCCTGTAAATCAAACCAACTGTGTGTGCGTAGTGATGATGAATTGTCTTATAATAACTAGGGATCATTCAGTATAGGTACTCCTGAATGTGCTGCTTAAGGATCTGTTAACCAAAATTTGATATCTTGATTATAACTTGTTCAAATGGCTTTTAGAAAATGTTCAAATGATTTTTAGAATATTTTAATTACTTTTGCAATGCTAATTACTCGCCACTTATGGGTTTTCGAGGTCATTTCTTGGTGCTTGTGTATTATTCTGTGGATATTACTTAAATAGTTAGGCACATTAAATTTTAGTTCAGAGAAAAAACGTATTTTTGGCCAAAAATCCTTTAAGGCTATAGACTTACAATTTTTGTCATTTCGGCCCAAAAATGGATTTTGCTCAAAATTTTAGTATAGGTACTCCTGAATGTGCTGCTTAAGGATCTGTTAACCAAAAT